AAAACCGTCTACTGCAGAAATTTCCTTAAATATATATATAATATATATATATATATATATGAAATTTTAATGGTGTTGTCCTATAATGGGGAGACAATGCTTCTCCCACACCATAGGCTACCAAATAAAAAGCCCAGTACTAATTGCGGGTTACCTCTTTATAAGCTGTTGGCTGTTGTGCTACCATAGACTCCCACATACAAATATTACAAGCGGTTGGCATTGTTCTTGGTTGTCCTCAAGAGCCTGATGATAAGACCTTTTTTGTTAAAGACACCACATATTTGAGTCATAGGACATGGAGAAATCAAACTGGTAAACTGGTAATTTGGATGCTTTACCCATACTGATGAGCTTTCATAGTGTCAAGAGATTCTGTTTAAGCTACTGGTAGAAAAAAGTACCCAACAATCCACCTAACTGTGAGCCTGCAAGCTATGATAGCAACTGGTCATGTTCCCTGTTGTATTGGTGGCACTAATGTTATCACAGTAACCAAAGACTTTCTAACTGGATTTAAAGCCTTCTCCACAATATGAAACTCATTTTTGATGCTTTTAACTGGACCAAAATCCTGTGACTGGCTAGGTTATAGGACCAATGGGAGAACCTAATATTACTATTTTGCTAAATTATTAAACTTCCTTCTATGATCTCCTTAATGAGTACCTATCTCATCCCTCATCAGACAAGCTTCTTTTTGCAGTGTATAGCATAAATAGACTGACAACTGGTCAATATGAACTTGTATTTTAAAAGTGTAGTGCCCAGCTCTATATAGAACATCTAAATCACATCCCCTCCTCTCAAGTTTCAGGGATCACCAAGGAAGTGGGCCAGAGTGACTGTAACAACACAGGTCATGGAAATCTGCATGAAACATTATTTGACAGAAATGTTTCATACACTAATTCACAGCAATTGTGATTGCATGCACAAGACCTTTCCAAAGTCAAGCCAGCCAAAATCCAGCATAGATAGGGGAAGAGATTCATGAAGTCCCATCCCCAGTCAAGAATCTACTAATCTACTGTCAATTGACAGATGCTGGGAAAGGGAGAGTCAGTTTTCTTTAGGGATGCAGTCCCTAAAGGCTACCCATGCTCCAGTAGATGGTCCTATACCCATGCACATAGGGGCAGCACTAAGTGGGTTCAGAGTTTAAAAAAAAAAAAAAAAAAGAAGAGCACAAGAAATTGGGAGAGAAAAATGGTGATAAGGAAGGAACTGTAAGGAAAAGACTGAGGGCTGGATTTGATCAAGACACATTATACACAAGTATGAAATTCTCAATAATTTTTTAAAATAAAAGAGAAATTATATGAAATCTAAATAAATCATTTATAGTAGATCATCAAATCTTTGAAAGAAAGACTCTTCGAGAACAGTTTCAAATACTTATGTATCTGCAATGTGTCTTTGACTACTGATTCTTTCATCCCTCGTCTTGGGAGGTTCAGAGACATGTCACTAAAATCCCCCAGCTATGAGACTCCATCTCTACTCTCACTTTTATGAAAGCTGGCTAGGACAACAGTCAGTAAGTTTTGTTTGTCACGTTTGATGTTGATGGGCACCTCCTCTCTAACAGAGACTGGACAAAGTATTCCATGTACAAACATCCCTATGATCCAATACAAGAATATCATAATCTGTTCTGGTTCTCATAAAACTTTGTATAAGTTATAGGACAAGCAAGTTTTCATGATTTGAATGATCAGTAGAGTTTAGGCTATTCTAACTATCCTCAAAACTTACTAAATATTGTTTAATCGCTCACTCAAAGTCTGTTATAGGACAAGGACTTTCTATACATGATTGTGTAAATGGAGGAAAGAAAATATATACCAGCTCAAACTGCCTTGTCCATGGGGTATCTGGCATTGACACACATCCTCAGTTATTTTTCACTGGCAAGAGCCAGTCATTTGTCCCCAACCCATGAGCAGGGAAGCTGAAAATTACACAGGAGCACATGGATGTGTAATGGGCACAACAGACTCTGACACATTGTACCACATTTCCTGGAAAACTTCAGCATTGTGTGTGCTCATGAATAAAAAAAAATCTAACATAGTATAAATGAAACGGGCACAAACTTGTCCAAATACACCTGCTAGAATTTCTGAGGTTCTTAAAGGTAAGAAGAAAGTCCTAAGAATCTAAAACACATGAGTAAAACTAGGTTTTTTTAAAATATGCTATGAGAGCATATTATATGATAATAATACCCTCCCCCAATCTGCAAAATATTTAAAGCACACAGCAGAGTAATATATAAATCTTATTTTAAATTTAAAAAGAACAGAAAAATCTTATGTCCACCAACCTGCTTTGCTAAAATCGTTTGCTTCTTAGCCTCCAGAAAGTCCTATAGTCTAAGTTTTATGGTCTCGTGCTTCTTTCCCTGGTGCACAGTGGCCCAGCACAAAACAATAAACCTTCTTTAACACATTTGACAGTCAATGCTCACATAAAGTTACCTGGGAGACAACACCAATGTGTTCACTAGGATAGCTAATTATTTTTGAAAGTAATCATATAGACTGACCACTCAAAATCTGTGTTTATTAGTCACACAGTTAACCACCCTTGGATCACCATTCAACAGAGTAAAGACAAGCACTGCCCTAAAAGGCGCTCTGTGTCATCACTGTCCATGAAATAAATCCCCACGTTCATTTAAACAACATATGAACTTCAAACCGTATCATGCTTTCTCTGTGTGCTTAGTGCTGTATTAATGGGATGGCCACTTTGCTTGACCTATATGCCAGAATTTTCTAGAAATGCCAAAAGACCATATGGATAGCCAGATGGGTTGTTGTAATTTAGTGCCATTATTCTAAGGATGAAATAAGGTATAAACATAATTTGCATTCTTTTCCACCCTCCCTGCATACGTTTCATTAGTTACATATTTAATTCAGACATCAGAAGGGAAGACAACACCTTGCTACCAGGGCCCAGATGCCAACTAATTACTACATGTGACTCCAGCCCTGACATCACAGGCCAGACCTCAGAACATGCTCGCCTTTCTCAGTGACCTCACCGCAGAGATTAATAGGTTGAGTGTGAAGCCCTAATGAGTGTGTCAGATCTTAGATGTTCTCGGGCTAATGTAATTAGCATTGTGTTGAACAGAATCTCAGCTACTTGGTGAAGACTCATTATGCTTCATATTAAACTATATGCCTTTTCACCTCATGGTCTTTAAATTTATTTACAGTCTTCAACCAAAAGAGATTCTATAGTGATCTTTCCTAAGGTAGGCAAAAATTTAAATATTTTTTTAATTAAAATATTTAGAGAAATCTTCTTCTCTTACTCTAAATATTTTAAGAGCTATTTTCCCAGCAATTACAATTAATCAAATTATCATTATACTGATGAATTTTAAGAACTTTCTTTTGGGAATTGGGGGTGTATTACAGGTGACAGAGTGCTTGCCTAGCATGCGTTCCTGTGTGTGATCCCCAGCACCACATAAACCAGGAGTATTGGCACACGCCTTAGTCCCCTTACTTGGAAGGTAGGGACAAGGAGGATCATCCAGGTCATCCTTACATCCTCAGTTACATAGTGAGACCCACATAGGAGACATGATACACTGTTTCAAAAAAAGAGGTCTCCTTTGTATATCTTCAAATTTATACCATATACATTTTAAAAGGAAAAGAAACATTTAAAAAAGTGAAATTATTTATGTAGGATAGATCTAATATAATATTTATTAAAATTTCATATAAAAATATGGGGTTTGAGAAAGTTAAAATCATATTGAATTAAAATCAATTATGCTATTCTTCATTCTAATACCCTTTTTGAGCCAGCCAGGTACTGAAGTTTGCCACATTTGTGACAAATTATTGCTGTTGATTTTGTGTCTCACTTACTAGGAATTACATTATGTGTACTAGTAAAATAAGAAATGATGTTAGATAATTTATGTGATACCTTTAATTCTTAAGTTCTGAGTTAGTAACTGTCCCTTGAAGTTAAATATGCACTTGAAAGTGAAAATTCTAAAATATATCATTTTATGTAATGATTTTTAATTAATCTATCACTGTCTTTTTTGATGTTGAGACTGATTTAAAGACAATAGGTCACATAATAATTAGAAATTTCCATTTTTTTAAACATCTGAAGTAAGATGGTTTGGTGTACTCCTTCTCTCTTGTGATTTCTGCCCTGATTTGAACATAGGGTGTAACAGATAGAAGCAGTCACTTAAATAAAAATATGCCATTATTTTACAAGTCCTATAGCAGTAAAGAATTATTCCACTTACACAAACTTGGATGTCTAGAAATTATATGGAAAACACTCCATTTGGGCAGTGTGAACAGAAATACTTTCTAGGTTTATACATTTCCATAAACATAGGTTCCCTTTGCACAGAGCTATTGGGGTTTGGTAGTTGCTGGGCAAGGAAGAGTCAGTTTTCTTAAATGGTGTGACCTCTGGTAAGCGGACCACACTCCAGGGCTGGTTCCACACCCAAGAGTATTTTGGCACCATAAATTGGATTCCATAGATAAAAAATACCAAGTTGGGTGGTTAGAGGGTAGGGAGATGGGGGTGCATCTAGGACCTGGGGGAAGTGGATATCATGATAATACAATTCCATGAGATTCTGAAAGAATTAATAAAAATTATTTGAAAAAAGAAAGCACTTCTGTCAACCACAGCTATGGGGAGAAACAATTCCAACATGACAGTGTAGCTTATATTCCAAACTGAATGGAAACAATTCAGTTGGAGTTTTGGTAATCTGGTACATCTTGATCATACAAGTAATTCTTCATCCCAACAAATATCAAAATGATCAATAAGTGAAATCACTAAAAATTATTAAAAGCAGATCTAATTTGATTGACTTTTACCGGATTACAGTGTAAGGGCTCTATGAGACTGACACGCACCATGCAGAGCATGTGACATGCGGGAACCGTGTTCTTAACCTGGAGACCCATTTATTCCAAAATACTTACCTCCTGCATACATCACAGCCAGCATGATGGATGAGATCCATGCTATTTCGCTGTAGGTAGTGTTGAAAATTTGCTGAATGTCTTTGAAGAACACTGTGATGGCTTTGGGGAAAGCATATGAAAATCCAATAGAGATAAAAGATGCTCCAACAACTACCCAACCCCACCCTCCATCAGGAGGAATTGGGTTCGGGGGCGGAGCACTAGGTGATGGTGGCATTTCTGTTCTTCTACTGGAAATTCAAGTAACCTATAAAAAAGAAGTAACAGTTCATATTGTATTTTTGTTTTGATATCATTCTTGATAGTTACTAGTCCCAGTTTGCTTCTTGGTGTTGGGATAAAACACTAACCCAAAACAACATTTCAGAAGAAAGGACTTATTTCATCTTACACTTTAGTCTATTTGGGAGGGAATCTAAGGCAGGAACCTGAAGCCTGGAGCTGAGGCAGAGGACTGGAGGAATGCTCCAAGCTGGCTTGCTCCCTCTGGCTTGTTCAACCATCTTTCTTACATAGCTCAGGTCCACCTGCCTGGCAATGGCACCACTCACAGTGGACAATAAAGAAAGTGCCCCACAGACACAGCCACAAGCCAATCTAATAGAGAGAATACCTCAGTTTAGACTCCCTCTTCCCAAGTATGTCTAGGTTTTTGTCAAGTTGACAAAAACTAAATATGACAGGTACTGCTAAGTAGTATTCTCACTGTAATGACAATATGATTTTATCAAGAGTCCATACTATTTTTCCAAGAAAATCTACACAAAAAGATGTGAGACATATAGCTTTGACTTATGTGAGATAAAAATTGCTTTACTATATGCAAACAAAATTACTGAAAGTGAAGGCAAGAATTTGGATTCAGCTGAAGTCCAATGAAAAAATCAAAGCTATTCCAATCTTCTAAGCATAAAGAAAATGGAACCCCCACCTGGAAAGGGAGAATACTTTTTTTGTATGTGTGTGTTTGTATGCATGTGTGTGTGCGTGTGTTAGCCAAAGGTTTACATGTGGTATCTTCCTCAATTGGTCTCCACTTTACTTTTTAAGACAGAGTCACATAATCAGTAGCTTATGATTTGGTTAGGATGGCTGGACAACAAGCCGTGAGGATTCTCCTTACTCTGCTTCCCCAGTACTGGGATTACAACCACAACTTTTTTTACATGAAACTGAAGTTCAGGGGACTGAACTCACAACCACAACTTTTTTTACGTGAAACTGAGTTCAGGGGACTGAACTCACATCCTCATGCTTGTGTGGCAAACACTTTAACAACAAAGTTATCACTCCAGTCTGAGAATAGTTTCTTAATTCAAAATGTTGTTCTTAAAAAAATTGGTGCTACCTACCATTTTTTGAATGAGATATGTGGTTTTATTTCAGTGGAATCCTGTCAGTCATAAGGATAATATGTTTGTTACCAATGGGTTGAATAAAAGGTTCTTTTTCTTTTTAATGTACCTAGAAATATGTAAACACTCTCTTATGGAAAATAATATATAATATAAATTTGAATTTACAGGAATTAAAAGAACTTGCTTCCTTATCAGTTTGGAAGGTGGAGGTGTAGTGTGGAGCTGTGTCCTCACCTCCTGGTTATGTGGAGTTGCCAGTATTTCTCAGCTCCTTTCTGGTACTCTCCATTTTCAGAATTTTTTCCATTAAAGTGCAAAAAGTAAAGAAGGCCACATTCTCCTGACAGGATCATGTTTGAAATGTATCAGCAGAGCTAGTTTTGCCAAATACTTTCCAAAAACTACTTAAGACCAAGTTCATTGCCTCTTGCTACCCTGTGAATGTGTAGATAGCTCATCAGTTCAGGAAATTCTCCTTGAGAGCAAATGAACTATATATTTTCCTGAACAGCTGTCACCATTGTCTAACTCCTAAATTATAGGACTAATTGAAGAACATGACGAATTTCTATTGTAAAATAGTCTAAATGACTCAGTGTTATGACTTATCATAAACCCTTCATTCTACTGTCAACTTTGAGAGTTTAAATGTTATCTCCAGCTTTTGCTTTGATTAGGTTTCATATTTCTGTCAATCATCATTGGCATATTTGTATATATCCTTTTGATAGTTATGATCAGTATAATCATAATCTTTCACTGAACATATTAACTTCATTTTTAAAAGTTCTTTGTTTTTGCTTCATGTGTATGAATGTTTTGCATGAATATATGTAAGTACACTCACATTGTGCAAAGCCCATGGACGCAAGATGAGGGCAAGAGATTCCTTGGAACTGGATTTATGGCATGTTAGCTGCCATGTTGGTGCTAGGAACCTAACCTGGGTCCTCTGAAAAAGTAACCAGTGCTCTTAACCATTAAGCCCTCTCTTCAGCCCATAACTTCATGTTTAATTAAAGCCATAAATATAATTTTTTTCAGAATGCCACTCACCTGATTTTTGGAATATTTTATTTTTATTTTATGTATATGAGTGCATTGCCTGCATGCATATAAGTATACCCATATCATGCAATGCCCCTGGAGGTCAGAAGAGGGTATCAAATCCCCCCAGAATTGGAGTTACAGACAGTTGGCTGCCATGTGGATGCTGGGAATTGACCCTGGGTTCTCTGAAATTGCAGTCACTGCTCTTAATTGCTGAGCCATTATCTCTCCAGTCACCTGATTTTTAAATAGAAAATGTGTGTATTTAAGGTATAAAGCATGAGGTTTTGATGGGCCTATTCAGAATGCAATAACTGCCTTCAGTTTAAACCACATATTCTTATCCTCACATAGTTACCATTTGTTTTCCTTTTGTGGTGAGACCATCTAAAGTCTTAGCAAGTTTACAAACACAGTATTATAAGCTATAATCACCAGGAGGTACACTAGGCCATCGACTCTACAATTGTACATAGCCCCAGTTCTGTACCCTCTGAACAGCACCACTACATTTTAAACACCTACTCTTCAGACATCCTAAGTTAATAAAACATCTTTCTCTTTGCGTCAACAGATTCAGCTTTTTTGCATTCAACAAACAGAGAGCTCCTGCAGTGTCTTTCATTTTGGGTCTGGGGTATTTCTTTTAGTATAAGGTCCTCTGAGCTCTCACATACTGTTACAATTGTGAACATTATACTTCTGAATGAGATCAATGGAAATAGTATTTAAATAACTTTAAAAAGATGTGAGATAAGAGTCTACAGGTTATTCTTATAAAGGAGCAATAATGACTATTTTAGGGTTTCCTGGCCACGTGGTCTGTTTTGAGTGGTTACTCCACTCTAATATGAGAAACAAATTGGTCATTGATGAGCTAAAAGATAAATGGGCAGGGCTCTTCCAATAAAGCTCTCTTTATAAACTAGTTTGATGACAGCAGTTTGATGAGGCTTATAATAGACATTAGAAAACCAAAAAGAGAAACACACACACACAACCACAATTCTAACAATTATAATTGTACAAATTTTTAATTACTGTCCTATACTAATACATCTGATCAATTTTAATGATACTGTAATCTCATGACTCTCAGGGATACACTTTATTTTATGATTTTATTAGTTATTTGTGTTACTATTTTTCATTATGCCTACACAAGTTTTAAATAATATGCAAAAATACAAATGTATAAATCACAATTAAAATTCATGAATTTCATCTTTCATTTAAGACCATGGTTAATGGGAAAATTGTTCTCTTTCGTATTATATTATGGCTTTTCTTTTTTTATCTATTTTGCATGCATTGGTCATCTCATGTTATTGACACAAATGCATCATATTCAAAATAACATATAAAACAATTATTGGTATAAAAAATGATTAAAGAGATCTCAGAAAATGTTGAGTCTTTTATGCTAAATATTTATTATCTCCAATAAGCACTTATTTAATCAGTTTGGTTTCCACACAATTCCTTGGATACTCCATTTTTAAAATGAGACGTATCATAAATATTAAGAAATTTGACCTAAGAATAATGTCAGCAACCAGATTTCATTAATCAATGCTGATTTTCAAAGTACTATAAATAGAACTAGAAATAAAGCTATTTGGGTGATGTACTCAGGGAGAAAAATAAGCCCCCTCCCCAAATTAGGCATTTTTACTACATTTTCTCTGTGTATTTAAATATCCTTAAGGATTAAAATATTCAGTATACTTGATTTTCAAAACACTAATAGCCTGAAATTTTCTTTCCAGAGGAATGTTGATGGTTTGATCTTAAATGTCTCCAAGACTGAGGGTTGAATTGTTTGGTCACTAGCTTTTGGTGCTTTGGGGAATTGGTTGGAAATCTAATGGAAGGAAGCTAGGTTCCTGTAGTGGTTTTGTTATTATTTTGTTGTTTGGTTTGGCTTAGGATTTGTTGTTGCTGTTCTTGTTGTTGCTGGTTTTTGAGGCAGAGTTTCTTGGTGGCCCCAGCTGGCCTGGAACTTGCTATGTAGAACAGACTAACATTGATCTCACAGAGATCTGCCTGCCTCTACCTCGAGAGTGCTGGGAACACCGAGCCCAGCTCCTGTGGTATGTTTTGAAGAGAACACTTGGTCTCTGACCTGTTTTCTCTCCTTTCTTCCTGTCCTCATGAGTGTATAGCTTTGCTCCACTATGTGCTTTACTTCCCCAAAGTGCTCTTCCTCATTGCCTTCCCAAAGAGAAAAAAGCCATTGATGATGGACTGAAACTTCTGAAACTGATTCAACATAAATCTTTCCTCGTTTAAAGCTGACCCTATCAGGTATTTGGAACAGCACTGGGAGACACAGTTATGTTAGAAGTTGCTGTTGGCAGTTTCCCCTGAACATTCCTTTGAGGGATAGTGAGGCTGATGAGACTTAAATTGTTTTTAATAAAAAAAAAAAAAATGTAAACTTGTAAAGTTCGGCACGGCCTCTCCCCAATGTTATAGAAGCTGTAAAGCAGTGTTGTGGAGAGGAGAGATCATCAGATCTGTGGAGCCGCCTGAAAGTTTGCAGAGAGCTCCAGAGATGCAGCTCACATAAGTTGTCACCATGATATTGGGGTTGGCTATCTGACAACAGGGCTGCTTTTAAGTCATTGCTACTCCTTTAAGTAGCTCCTTTTGCATACTGGTGTTATGTTACTTGGGTCTGTTCTGGGTTCCCTTTCTGAGGTCAGTAGTTTGTGTGTGTGTGTGTGTGTGTGTGTGTGTGTGTGTGTGTGTGTGTGTGTGTTTTACATGGGTGCATATGCAAACAGAAAAGAGAGAGAGAGAGAGAGCTCTGTAGTGGTTTGTATGAGAATGTCCCCCATAATCTCCAAGTATTTGGACACTTTGTTCCTAGTGATGGCAAAGTTTTGCAAGATTTTAGGAGGTGTGCCTTGCTGGAGAAAGTGTCCCACTAGGGGACAAGCTTCAAGAGTTCTTAAGCCTTGCCAGATTTACAGTCTCTGTGCTTCCTGTTTCCAGATGTGAATGTTGCACTTCCTATTCTGGCCACCTTCTACCACAATGTCTCCCTACCATGATGGACTCTAATGCCTCTAGAACCTGGAAAAGCTCAAATAACCTCTTCGTTCTATAAGTTGCCATGGCTATGGTATCTCATCACAACAGCAGAAAAGTAACTAATAAAACATCATCCCAGGAAAAATCTCTCACATGACAGAAGCTTACTAAAATGTCAAAGAAAACAGCAAGGCCAAGAGAGAAAGTTTTAACCATTAAAAAAAAAAAAATGTATGTAAGATTGATCTTGGTCTTCAGTGTAAAATAGTTCCATTGAGTAAATATTCTATACAATTGCTAGAAACAACTGTGAATAACATATTCTCAAGAATTATTTTAAAAAGGTTTGTATATTTACAGTATATTAACAGCCTGCTTTTAAATCTTTTTTGTTGTAAACATTACAAATTCTTTATCTGCCTCTCCTATTTAAGGTTTTATTCAGTTTTAAAATAAGATTATTTCTGTATGATAATCAATGTACAATATATGAACACTGGCTATGCTATCTTTAAAAAGGTATAATATGTAAAGAAGAAAAAAAGGAGGAAACATGGATTATAACTACTGTTTAAGTAAGTGGAATATATTAAGTGGCCTCAAGAGTTATCTTAAGAATCTGAGCTGTTTGTTACTAAATTGTATTCTAAATTGCAAAGCTACTGATTTTCTTCTTATTTGAAAATAAACAAAAGAAAACCTACAGAAATATTGAAGAACTAAAAACAAGGATTTATGTGGTAAAGAACATTTAATGTATATTCAGGCTGTAATAACAGTTGTGAGAACTAAAAGACCTCGATCTGCAATTTTCCAGCTTGCACAAAGGACACTCAACTGTCTTTCATTAGTAATTCATGAGTTGAAATTATTGCAGTCTTTATCAAGTCAGCTAATATAAACATTTAGAAATAAAGCTAGGGGATTTATTTCCCAGTCACTTAAAAATCATAAAGAACATTTCTAAACAATCTTCAGTTCATATTGTTAAATAATATCAATATGAATATTTAATTAACAAATATGCAAATCACACTACAAATATAATTGAAATCTATTAATGATATAAGCAGAAGCTGTAGTTTCTATTTAACATACAATAAACTCAATTCACAGGAAAGTAAAGAGTGGTCCATGTAGATTTGCAATGAATACTGCTCAATTGTAGCATAAGTCATATAAATTTATATCTTCTCACTATTTAAATATGCACCATCATTTTTATAATATTTTATTTTCATTTTATGTGTACAGGTATGTTGCCTGCATGTAAGTGAGTGTACCCATGTCGTGCAATGCCACGGAGGTCAGAGGAGGGCTTTGGATTCCCCTGGAACTGGAGTTAAGGATGGTTCGTAGCCACCATCCGAGTGCTGGGAATCGAACCTGGGTCCTCTGCAAGAGCAGTCAGTGCTCTTAACTGCTGAGCTACCCCTCCAACCCCTAAATATGCTGCATCTTATAAAAACATATTCTAATATCAAAGTTATTTCAAGTGTCAGAAACTTTTAAGCAATATAGTTAGCATGCTCATACAAAAATGGTGACAAGGAAATATAATTGCATATATAAAGTACATTTATTATCAATATATAATTATGTATCTACATATAACTTTACAGATACAAATGTTTTTGCTTTCATCATATTCCATTTTCCAAAATTCTGCTTTAATATGGAATTGTATTTTTAAAACTCAGATTTTTGTAATGGCTTCATCTTGTGACTTGAAAATTAACCATAAGGACTTTGAAACTTGTCTAATATCTCAATCATTTAATAGCTAACATTTAGTAAATTAATGAAACTATGTTCTCTCATCTGTAAACCATGGATGATAACTGCATTTACTTCACAATAAAGGAGGACTGGCAAGAATGCATATAGAGTAGCCGCCTGCTCAGAATACTCTGAACTAATATCTATCATTACTTCGACCTTACTTCAAATGGTAACTAAGCTGTGCCCCATTAAATTGCTAAAATGGGATTTTAAAAAATGAAGGGAAAAAGCATTTATGTTTTGAATTTCTATCAAATTTCATGTGCTCAATTGCATTTAATATACTAACTAGAAGTTTTAAAAGTCAAATCTTAAAATGAAAATTCTATGAAAATATTCCCCTCACAAGAGTAGCACACAATTAGTGTCCTGAACACAGTAAAGTGTTCAATACCATGGATAAATGTGAAGTCATCAGTCTCTACAAATCCTCAATAATCTTGCGGTCTGCAGAAAATAGCACTAATGATTTTTAATCTGATAGCTTCTATGTGTCCCTTCATTGTTATATCATCTTTAATGCACCAAAAGCATCCTAATTTGAATAATATGTCTTTAATTTCATTTTATTTATGTTTTTATAATACATAGTATATGTGTAGATATATGTATC